GTGTCGGAACATTCTCCAGCTTCATGCCAATCATTCAGAAATCTTCGAAGCTAAGCTGGCATGTTATTTAAAATAAATGAGTTTTTCTCTTACTAGTTTCTCATGCTGTTGTTTACACCACACAGGTTTTATCTTCCCCCAAGATATAAGTAAATACCAGTGTTTTAAACGAGTGATATATCAGGATGAATTTACAGATTATTAATATTATTAGCACAAATACATGTTTTAAATGATTGACTCCACTTGTATTTTCAGTATGACTGCATAGTGATTGTAGTGTCATCTGGATTGGACGGACTACAGTCATCGCAGACGGAGCGATAACATCTACATGTGTATAAGTGCTTCACTTTCTGTGTGAAGATGATTGACAGGTCAGGGGATAGGATGTGATGAGGCTTGCTCTGTAAGACGGTCAGAAGAGAGGCAGACGTATGCAAGGCTAAAAGAAGTGATGGGAAGGTGTATAAGAGGAGGAGGAGGAGGGGGAGGATGTGGTACACACTAGAAACTTTTCTTAGTTGTTGTCAGGTCCGAGTCTGAGAGGAAAAGTGAGAAGATGAGAGGACAAAGCGGAGAGGAGGGGGGAGGAGGACGGGGGAGAAGCCGGACAAAGGAGGAGGAATGAAGATAAAACAGAAAGTAGATCAGGCTGAAGGAGGAGAAAAGAGGTGAAGGACAGAATGGGAGGAGGAGGAGTCCTGCAGGAGGAGCATGATTGATTTCATGTCTGTTGATCAGTGGCTGACACGTAGGAGGAGATCTGACTCCATAACCATGAGTCTATAGTCACAGCTCTCCTTTCATTCCCTCAGCACTCCACCTCCCACCTGTCTGGAGGGGAGCTATATTCTCCATATCTCTGGTGCTGTAACCTTCCTCCATAAAGTCACTCTGATGCACAAAGGAAACACCTCCGTTTCTCTCTGCTCTCTGTCGAATGCACACGTTTACCCATGTGAGGAGAACTTTAAACAGATAGAAGAAGAGAAACAAAGTGACAGCAGTCAGGATGATGCCTCCAAACAGCTGTAAACAAATCTCAACAATGGGGGCTGTTTCCAGACAGAGTGCCGTACCGTTTTCCCTCTCTCCAGAACCCAGTTCCCCCTCTCTTCTTATGTTCTCTACCATATGGCTCTCCCTAATGAGCATTGCACATGTATCTCCTTCCTTTCTTGCTCCTCCAAAAAGAATACAAAAACAATGTCTTTCTTATGTGGTGCAGCCAACAGCAGCAGATCTGGAGCTTCTTGTCTCCGCTGAGAGAATTAGTGGCAAATAAAGTATGCTAATGAGTTCAACTCTGTCGCTCTGCGATTAAAAGCACTGTGGGATAATGAGTCAAGCTCACATCAATACGAGAAGGATGGTTCACATGTCTATGGGCTGGATGCATGTTGCTTCCTCCCTGCCTGATAACCCAGCTTGGTTTTCTGTGTCCTGTTTTCTGAGCAAAGATGCACAATTCAGAGCAACACTTAGTGAATGTGCTTATCAAAAATGATTCAGTTACAGAACACAGCAGGGAGGTCACACTCAGGCTCTTTTCAGATACAGTTCTTCCTATCAAGCCAAGGGACATACTCCAGATTGGAGATAAACTATACTTTTTTTATCTACATTTGGGAAATATTTTTCACAGCAGCATAGATAAGACATCACACATGAATGAGAAGTAAATAAAAAGAAATAATAGTAGTAAATACAGATAAACAAATGAGCAGTAGAAGATAAACAAAATACAAACAACTGTGAATATGTATATCAATAATGAGGATAAATATCTATAGAGTATTGAATTGAAGACAGTGTACATTATGCTTGTCCAGCCTATCAATCTCCCAAAATGTACACACACTTTACAGTTGACATGTGAGCTACTGCAGGTCACATGGTGCAACAGTACCATGAGGACAGATCTTCTTACTGAGCACTTTCCACCATGACTGCAGACAGCATTGCAGGGACGTGACCCACTTTCCATTTGTCCTGGCAGCTTTGCCAGTGCAAAATGATCTACAGCAGAAATGACTTCACTTTTATTTCATTACTAATCTGAAAGCCTGTTCAACCCAGTCAGCGACTCTAAGGAATCCATTGACGCTTTCAAATAGCATTTCATTCAAAACAATCTGCTGACCAATTCCATATAGTTCTGCATGCCTGAAACAGAGAACCGAAGTTGACCAGTCCCTGCTCCTTTATGACTCTTGAGACCTAAACACAGTCTGAGGTTTGATGCAAGATTTTAGAAATGCAAAGACAAAGTGACGTGCTTGCTTCTCACCATGTCAATGATTTCATTTGTTTTTAGCCTTTATTTATCCAGGTAAAAATCCCATTGTGATCAACGATCTCTTTTCCAAGGGAGACCTGCCGCACATTGGTTACACATGTAACAGAAAACATAAAAGGACACATACAACATAATGACAGAGGTACAATTGACAGACCAGGAGTATCAAGTACCATTTCATCCAGCTGTGCTTTAAAATGATGCAGGAGAACCAAAATGCTAATTTTTAATATGTTTTGCAGAGTTTTCCATGCTAGAGGAGCTGCGCACCTAAAAGCTTGAGTGCCTAAAACAGTCCTAGCACTTGGCACATGTAATAAAAACACATCCTGGGATCTTAGGCAATAGCTACTTGAGACTCTCTGTGAGATCAGAGAGCAGATATACGTTGGTAGTTTACCATACATGGCTTTATAAATAAACATGTACCAGTGACTGAGCCTCCGTACAGTAACTGATGGAAAACCTGCCCTGGCATACAGGGTACAGTGATGAGTAAGTGCTTTACAATTAGTGACAAATCTCAGTGCACTGTGATAGGCGGCATCTAACTTGATCAGGCAAGTTAGATGTGGAAATCATCACTTATATAAGTTAAACAAACTCAAACTATGACATGAAAGGCCAGTAGCACCAAACATAAGTGGCTCACATAAACATATCAACATGACTTTTAAGTTTGTTAAAATAATACTAAACGCATTAGCAGCATATGAACCATATGATAATCTCCTGTATATCCTCCATAGAGAGCCAACTTGTTCCTATGTAAGCCATATTACCATAGCCAGTAAACACTCTCTGGGGCACATTCTCACTTACCCTCACATGCACAGATAAGAAAAAAGAAACGGTGTAATTGTAAAAGCACCTGCAAAGTAGAGTAGAATGCATCCCTAACTGTTGCTAAGCATTAGTGTCTGGCTGCTCCTTATCCTTCACACTTATGTGAAGTAGGTCATACGCAGACATTTGGTGCAAAGTCACTACCTTTCTATGCAAATAAGACCAGTGCAATTATAAAAAAAGAAAATAGCCACACGGGGAAATCATTAGTGTCTTCAGAGTTGCTGGTAACAGAAGTAAATATGAAATGGGGGTCGCGCTCATATTTCCGATTGATGAGTTCATATTGATTCTCAAATACAGTTCCTCTGTCCCATTTCAAAGTTGTTAGGAAAGCCTCTGCATCTCATCAGTCAGAGAACAGAGCTAGAACTCTAAACATTGATTTGATTGCTTCTTCTTTGACATGGTTCTGTGGTTTTGGCAAAGAAGCAACATCTGCAGCTGCAAAACGTCCTGGCTTATTTGTGCTGGAATCTCATTAGTGCAACAGCTTTTTAGAAACAAGCTTTGAGTGTAAATAATAAAGGTTTCAATGGTTTGCAGTTTGTGGAACTACAGCATCTTATCTTTGTTAATCGAACCATTTATTTTTGAAGTAATGTTTCAGCACACACATTTGATCAGTGTACCAATTTTAAGTTTTTCCATAACATCAAACACTACTGGACGAATATTTTGGCTTGTGTGACATCACAGAGCTGAACTGATCTAAGAATTTATGAACACTTTTGCCTTTGTCCCTCTCCTTTTTTTACTTGTTTCTGTACATGTATGCAGTACATTCCTAAAGCCCGGGGACAAGCTAAAACATTTCTAACTCACATGGACATATCTTCTCCAAAGTTTGCATGCAATCAAGCTCATCTAACACTCACCTCTCCAGCTGCAGCACACAGCTGTTCTCAGGGAAGAAGCTCAGACAAGCACATTGGCTGCATCTCACTTCGGTTAAATGGATTCCTTGCGTCCCTCACTTGCGTAGTTTCCCTGCGACTAGTCCCTCCCACCAGGGAAGCATGGAGAGACACAAGGAAACCACGAGAAGCAGGGAAATGAGTTTTAAGAGCAATGGGACATTGTTTCCTCCGGAGCGTCACGTGAAGCGACGTCCGTTTGTGATGACGCCGCACAGCTGATCGTCTGACAGCAGCCAGATCAGTGCATGCGCTGCATCGTCCAATCAGTGAGCGATACACAGTAAGGGGGCGGGGCGAGTGTCTGAGGATTTCACCGGAGGATGGTCTGGTGGTTCCTCGATTATCGCTCCTCCGTTATCACTCCTCGATCCTCGATGCTCCGGCACAAATAAGGCCACTGGGACGCTACTCAAGATGGCGCAGACAAATCAACTTCCGGTGATACCGAGCCCGAGGAGCGAGGAAATGAAAAATAACCAAAGTGAGACGCAGCCATTGAGAGAGTGGATCAAGACAACAAAATAAACTAGCTGATTAATTGAATATTACATTTAGCAGCTAAACTAGGAGATATTTGCTTTGGAGGTGGTGAAGAACAAAAATGATAAAAGCAAAGACAATATTATCATGCGGCAGGAAACATGACGTTCTAATGTTCTGTGTCTGGCAGTGTAAAGGCTTGTGCATACTTTCTGTAATTATTTGGCTGCCTTTGTATTTCTTTAAGCACAAATCATGTGAAGGTGGGCAGCGTCTGTAACGGAGACTCCTTACACAACCCCTCTCAAAACACTCATTCATCTTCTTATCTTCATCTTGTTCTTGGCAAACCAGCAAGAGGTGCTGGACTGGAGTGTGGAACAAAACTGGAGCATGCAAGAAATTAAAACTCCTTGTAATGCCCTGATGCCAAACTTTCATTTTGGCTTTAGATCAAACTTTGACAGCATGCGACGCCACTCCAAATAAGGATTTATGGGCACACTAATGACAGTTGGTATCGGCTTACAACCTAAACTCGAGAGGTGAGTCATGTACTTATATTTGATCGTTTATTCTTGGTCATTCCACAATTTGATGGTTTCAATGCAGACACACAAACATACTGTATCATATACGCACATCAGACATCAGAGGATGAATGAACATGCAAAGTGATCGATGTTCCAAAAGACATTTACCGTCAGAGAGATGGCCCTGCCTCGTCACTAAGTCTACAAGATGTGGTTTTCCTTCATACCCTAGGGATTCTCGATGTAACATAGTAATACACAATTCCCCATAGAAATCTGATTAAGAAGCCAATCGGAAGGGTGCAGTGTGTGGACAGTGGAGCTTTGTCCATTGAACATGAGGAGGAGGGAAGCCTGTGAGTTCACGTGTGTGTGGGCCGCATCACGCAGTAGAAGTGCAGTGTGTATATGTCTGCCAATGAAAGCATCTGTACTGCTTTCATTAATGTCATTCTGAGGGTAAAGGCCTTTCGTGGGCCCTAGACTCAACATACTGATGCTCTCAATATGTTCAGGGCCCTCAGGCTGTGGGGAAGACTTGTGAAGTTTGCCCTGAAGGTTTGTGATGAGGTCACAAAGTCATCGAAAATCAAAAGGGTTTAAGGTTCTGCAAATGTCTTCATTATTTGACGATAAGATCATGATATTGTGATCATAGTTTGACCTGATTGAGTTTCATACGACTGAAGAGATGTACAATCTTCATATTGAATTTGGTTTATCCTCAGGGGAGCGTTCTGGTACTTGTTGAATTCCATGGTAATCCGTCGATTTGATCCTGTCAGTTACTGTTTACAAGCCGTGTTAAAGGAATTATGGTCAAGAAGGGATCTATAGATACATATGGACAGCAAATGTTATGACAATCTAAATGTTAGTATTTGAAAGTCTGTATCTAAGACAAAAGGACCATTTCAGCAAGTTCATTGATGCAATTTGTTATTTGTTTGTTATAGGCAGCTTTTGGCACTGGGTGATTTGGGCACTTGGTGTAAATGTTTATATTGGAGACAGGTGGTGAACATGCACTTATAGTAGTATAGTAGTATATCTTAAATTGACTCAAGCATTGGATGGATGGGCAGATGGACCAATCCAATGACCATTGTCATGGTCCAATTGGTTCTTTCAGACAGTTCAGCAGTTGAGGAAGTTTTCTCCAAGATTTCATAGAACTTCTACTGTCTGATTTGTTTTATTGTACATTTGATAAAAGCCTTGGAATGGTTCTAAAGGGGAACTGTAATTCTAATCAGATATAACTTTGTATGTCGATTATCCTGAGTTGGATAGGGACTTTCCCATGGTGGTCTGAATGAGCTCCCCCCCCCCGCCCCAATAATACAAAATCTGAGTTTAACATTTAAAAAACAAAAATGAATACTTATTTGCTAGGAAATGAAACAGCTTTTAGCATTAAACTTTGCATATTTAATCCAAAAGAGTGGAGGCATTCTTCAGCGTCTCTGACTACTGGCTGCAGGATGAGGGTCTTGTGACTGTACTGTACCAGATCCGTTTTCCCAGCATTCATCAGCGAGCCCAGGTAGGAAATCAGCAGGAGACTGACTGGATCAGAATTGGACATGAGTCACAAATGATACACTCTGCATGAGTCTGCATGTTAACAGCACACTGCAGCCCTGTATGAGTGGCCTGAAAACACTGAGCCCAGTATGCAGCCCACTGCAGGGAGGAGGGCGGCAAGAAGGGGATGTGAAGGAGAGGAGGGGACTGCTTCCCCTGGATTCTGTTGTGTCCAGTTGACCGGTGTACCGTGCTGATTCTACCTGCAAGAACGAATGGTCTTCAATGGTTGATGTCAGGAAGACGTGTGCCTGCACTGAAGAAACTGAACCTTTAATTAAATGTAGTATGTCAATAGATTTCACATAACAGTATTAGGTTAGTTGAAAGCAATAATCTGAAGTTGAACCTAATCATCTTTTTACCTAATAAGTTAACGTTTTTTCAGTGAGATTGACCCGGGCTCTCTGGTTGTTTGACCCTCCTGTCGTGTTCGGTTACATCTGACCGATTTACTGCTTTCATCAATCAAAGTGTTGTGTTTTACATTTGATTGCTTCAAGACCATGATATCCTCCACAGTAGGCATTTGAAAATATAAAAGTGCCGATCACCACTTTCATTGAATTTTGAGTGGTTTAGTGAACTTTGTTACACCTACAGTATGGTGTTCCCGCTCAAAAATGACCGCCATAGGAAATGAATGGGTAACCCTAGATTATGTTCATCCATCAGATAGAACACAACCAAATCAAAAACCATGTTCATTTTGGAATACATTTTCAGTGTCTATTCTTATATTAAAAGTGAATAACATTTGGAGATGATTAATGTTCTTTGTGTTAAAACAGATGTTCATATTACACTGGGAGCACTTCAGTAAGGGGGAGAAACAAACACGACAGGAGGGTTAAAATGTTGCACATTGAAATTTCCGCAGAATAAAACATGAATCAATGCATGTTTCCTAATTTGCAAGAGGAATTCATTAAGATGGCATTCATTGGTTTCCTTTTTAGTCTTGTTTCCACCGATCCACATATACACATTGGTGTTTGCTAATATGCTGTAGAGCAAATTCATTTCAGGTCAGCGATGGATCAATAGAGGGGACATACAGCTTTGTGTCACTGATTGTGTTCAGGTCTCAATCAGTTAGGATTGCTAGTTGGATTGAGTTTGTCGCCCATCCTTAAAGCAGGGCGTTACACTCCAAACAATTCGCCTTTTTTATTCTGGATATTTTGGCCTTTTCTAGTGAGGACATGAGCAACATGAACACTGTGTCTGCAGAAGAAGAAGAAGAAAAGAAACAGGTACTACACTGCCAAGATGTAATCGTCTTTCTGTCAGCCCTCACTATATCTTATCTTATCTACAGTGGCGGCCGGCCCATAGGGGCGCTAGGGGCGCCACCCCCCCTCTTCCCACATGTTTGATTGTCATTAAAAATGTAAAATAAATAAAAATATATATTTCCAAAATTTTTTTTATTTTTATTTGTATTTGTATTTTTAAAGAACAAGGTAAATATGATATAGTTGGTATCAGTAAAATTTATAATCTACAATAAAATCTCGTTTAAAATTGTTTTACGATGTAATTGATAAGTCACATGTTTCCTGCCTGGCCGCAGCGTGTATCATTACCCTCTCTCGTCCGGGCGGTAGAAAGGAGCCCTCAGCCAGAGCAGCTGCAGCCAACAAGCTGACTGTTGCTATCTGTAAACTATGCCGTCGAAACATAATTTCAGCCAATCAGCGTCGTCAGATCTGATGCTCAAAGGGCGCCCTTTCAGCGCCCTGACCTGTGTGTCTGTGAGTTGTTTAGACTCGTATCCAAGGTGACGCTACAGTAGGGGATGGCTGCTTCTGCAGGTGTAGACTCCGGTGCTAGTGGATCGCCGGAGCTGTAGATTAACATTTGCATGCTTATTGTAGTTGTAAGGGCAATGCCTGTGGCACCATGGAGCATATGTTTGGGCTGGACCTGTATTTTACAGGAAAGGAGTGATCAGAGGGTCGAGTTGTCGATTCTTGTTCAGTTTTCATCTTCCTCACCCTCTCAGACTTTGAGTTGCGCGCGCTGCTAAAGAGACGCGCTACCATGGAAACCAAACAATGGTGTAGCTGTATTAAAGTCCGAGTGGAAACAGTGGTGAATAAATCTGATTTTGTCAGAAATCGGGAGAAATGCGGGAGTCTCCCGCAAAAATCGGGAGGGCAGTGGCGGCAGGCCCATAGGGGCGCTAGGGGCGCCGCCCCACCTCTTCCCACATACAAAAACAAATATTTAAAAAAATATTAAATTAAAAAATATATATTTCAAAAAATATATATTTCAAAAATATATGTATTTTATATTTTTTATTTTTAATGAACAAGGTAAATATCATACAATTCGTATCAGTAAAATGTATAATCTACAATAAAATCTTGTTTAAAATTGTGTTACGATGTCTAAAGTTACGGATAAGTCACATGTTTCCTGCCTGGCCTTGCCCTTGGCATTAGTTTATCATTACGGGGCGCTGCCCCCGAGCCAAACAGCAGCAACCAGCACGTTGCAAAAGTCTCAATAGTAAACTGTGCCGCCGAAACATAATTTCAGCCCAATCAGCGCCGTCAAATATTTTGGTCACGAGAGCGCTCACGTTGGCGCCCACGTTGCTTACGTGCGTTGACGTGAGTTGTTTTTTAGACTCGTGAGGAACTGGGGTAGTATCTATAGTAACGCAGTGTAGGCGGAGCCGTGACGTCATCTTCAATGAGCTCCTCAGAAAAACAACACAGCCGTTAGCTTTTAGCACTCAGAGCTCACAGCTCTTCATATCTGTTCAGAAACTAGACAAAAGTTAAACAAGTACAAACCACATACTGTCGGTGTCATGGCGAATACAGTCGCTGGTTTATTTATGTCTGTATAGGCCGTTGTTGTGAGTGTGGACGGTCGCAGCATTTACAACGTTAGCTTAGCGATTCTCTCTCTAGTTTAGACTGCGGTCAAGCCAGCCTCCACTCGGAAAA